GCGAGAGCACCAGCACAAATCCAACATAGTTTCCCTCTACTTTCATCACCGCTCTCTGATTTATCTGTTCCAGCAATATTGGAAACTTCAAGGACACACCATGTCCACTGCACACTCTGCTATCAACCGAGCCTCCAAAGCGTTAGGGATTTTGCGGTGTGTTTTCCCGTCCTGCTGAACAAGCCTGAAGTCAGTCACGCCTTGTGTGAGCTTGCAGCTCCACACTGCAGAGGCCTGCTGCCTGATGAGCAACGCTGGCTCCATTTCTAGAGATTTATTACTCATCCTGCCACTAATCACACACTCAGCCTCATCTGTCAGGAAGCAAGAGGCTCCATTGTCTTGACTGACAGTATGAGGACAAAAAAGCATGACAAAATTACATCAACAACTGTTTAGCTTTTAACACCAAATGAGTAGTGTCATTACTTTCCCAAATTATCATGTCTCTAAATGTGAAGCAGCAAACACAGCCACTCCTGCAGCAGTGCAGGCCGACCAGCTGTTGCTGTTGTTGCAGTTAAAATCAGGGTTAGGGCCCCATCTAGTGGCGGGTGGTCATAGTGGTGACAGAGGCTGGCTGAGAATAGGAGAAATGTGAATGTAAGAGTTAAAACAGTGATTAGGCGTAGAGATACAAAAAGTATGCTTTAAAGATAAATAACGAATCATACCACTGATAGTCTCAGTGATTGCTCAAGCATTATTCACTTCATGCTGCCTCTGAAGAGCTCAAAATGTAGATAAAGTTTGATGCTCCTGTCACATCCTGTTGCTTTTAGTGATGTTCTTTTGAAGAGAAACTGGTCCCCAAAGTTTTGGTTGGAAATTCACTATTCAAACTCATGATTCAAAGTTTTATAAATCTGCAGACGTTCTAACATGAGCAACATTCACCTCAGGTTTGCTTCAGTACAGATTCAACAAGGGTGCCAGTTTTGGTTATCATCAAAATGACCATGCATCCAAAACAAATTATGGTAGTCTTAACATCTTAAAAATCAAGGTCTTTTTTTATTTGTATGTATTTAGTAAAACATCCTGGGTCTAAACGCCAATAGAAAATATTTAGGGCACAAACAGGTGAACTTTTCTATTAGAGGTACAGTATTTAATCCTGCATTATGTGCCAGTGGCGTAAGGAAGTTACGATGGGCCCTCGTGCACAATATCATGCACAAATGGAGACTTGACATTGGACAACATCAACATATATATTACCCAGCAATCATCATTGCATATCTGTCAAAAATATCAAAGAAAGTAAGAAAGTAATCATTTAATTGAATAGTTTTCATAGTATATTTATAAATTTTGTAGCTTATATAAAAGCATATCATTTTGTTTTAACTAAATGCTCACTATTTAAAAAAAAACAAAAAGGAAAAAAGAAAACCATGACGCAGATGGGTTTGCCTTTTTGAGGACATATATAGCAAACTGCACTGTTTTTAAATTTGTTTAATTAGATATATTTTTATCATTTGTCTTTGAACACAGGTATATTTCAAAGGTGGCAATCTGAATCACTTGCAAGGGCTCGCTTTCTCTACGGGCCCCTCCACCCCTCCACCCCCAGTGTAGTTGCACTGTCTGCGCTATCTATATTTACGCCCCTGTTATGCATCATTATACTTATAGTTTTAATGAGCCTTTTTACCTTTTTAATTTTTTTTGCATAAGTGTGTTTCTAAAAATATCAAAGCACACAAAAATCAAGCCAACTATCTTGCTGCTCCATTTCAAATCATCTGGGGTATGTTTGGTGTAAAAGCATTCGGTGCTGGTTTGCATATTCATTCTAGTTTACAGTTCCCTCCCAACATTGTGCAACATCGTACTTCTGAGATCTGGTTGCTTGGGTGCATGTTGTTAAAAGCTAAACACAGCAGCCATGTTCGTCTACAGTATATTAACATCACGTTGTTCCAAAAATGCATCATTTTGAACCATAAGCACATCTCAGAATCCTTCGAAAAGGACACAGAACTGCCTTCAGTAACCTTGAACCAAACTATTACAAGCGCTAACGTACATAATTTTCTGCATTTGAGTTTTGTCCCATTATTTTTGTTATATGTGACATCCTGCAAAACTGTTATGGTAAACCATGTGTGATCCCTGTGTCACTGAGTCACATGTCACCCCATAATGGAGCCAAACATCAGTTGGCTGAAGTCCAGTTTTTTAAAGGAGCTGTATGATTTAGAGTCTGAGTTGGGATGCCTGCACATGGCTCTCAACATGGAGGTGACCGAGGCAGCAGCTAGCAGATAACATCGCAAACAGTGCTAACAATGGTAACGGTGCTGAGAGAGCTAACAATGTTAACATAGGGGGAACTAGAGGATGGGCACTGTGTTTCTGTGACAATGATGTTCCGCCCACATGAGTCTGGACAGCGTTACCATGGGTAACCGCCATATAAGAGCAGTGCAAAGCAGCGCTGATTAGCTAGTGGACTAGTCTCTATACAGACTCTACATTCAGTGAACATAGAGTCTGTAGGCAAACCCCGGAGATCTTGCCTCCGGAAGAAGAGCGGAAGAGCCCTGGTTTCCGGTTGTAGGCTGTTTGTAGTCTGCGTGATATTGACCAATCACGTTTGAGCCGGCTGCAGTTGTTGCCAGGTTAAACAGTCTGTGCCGTGAACTAACAAGGTGGAACATAATTGGCGTCATTGCAAACTCTGAATCCATCGCAATGGTTCAGCATATTTATTTACATATAAACGGAAGTCGGAAACGGAAATTCACCTCCTCCGCCCAAATCAAACCGGAATGCCAAAAAATCGGGGGTCTGCCCCCAGAGGCTGTATCGCCGTCTGCCGGAAGTCAGATGCCGAATACAGCCGATGGGTTCCAAGAATGCTAGTGGACTAACATGCATGTGTGGCTGTACTGTCTGCCACAACAAAGAACAGAAAAGTTCAGACTAAAAAATACACAGAGGGAGTTTGACCTCAAAACGCATTGTGTAAAGTGCTGCCCCAAAGAAAACTAGAAACATGGGGGGAATGCAAGAATCGGACTGTGTGTTGCAAAAAACAAAAAAAACAAAACACTTTTCACTGTTCCAACTTTTTCAAAGTCCCTAACAAGAACAGCAGTGTCCTCAGTGCTTTCATTGCCGCGAGCAATAATGAAGATGAAAAGCAACTGAGCATCACAAGCACTGAAACAAGTCATTCTTGTGCTTCGGACCAGTTGTCATGGCTGCTGCTGATAATGGTGAAAAATGGAATGATGATAAAGAGGCAAATCAAGGAGTAAGCCCCCTGATTCAGTCAGGTAGTTACACCTTTTAGATATTGTTTGGATTAGGAAATAAAGTGATGAAACTCTTTGAAAATGAAACAATCATGAGTCGGGAAAGCTGAGATGAACACATTCAAAGACAGGCCAGTAGTTTTTGAGTTCTCCTTACATTTTAACCTCTGACTCTGCACACTGATTGTTTGATTGAATCATCTACTGAAGTAGATGTAACAGTGTTAAACAGAGGGACTGAGAGCACACAGATTTTACCTGCTGAACCAGCTGACACAAGGTAATAAGCAAAGAAGTTTCTAGGCCTTAGCTTTTCTTTTTTCTGTTTTTCTTTCTTTATCTTATTAAAAAGGAAATTTAAATGTTTTGTCACAACACTTTAATTTGGCTGTAATAAATGCAATTTTGTGGACACAGTTTTGTTGTGCAAAATAAACTAAAGATGAAGCTGTTCAAGACTGGCAAGGGCAGTTTTTATATGCATACTCTATGCTTATAAACAGATACAGGTGTGTGTCTTACAAGTTTTTTTTTTATTAACTTCCAAATGTATCATTTTAAATAACCCGTATTTTTAAGGGTTGAGGGTTGTATGTCTCCTGCCTCCACTGGTGGTCAGTAGGAATTGCAGGAGACACAGATGCTCTGCTCTATAAATATAGACATCCATTATGACAAAATGTAGATTGTCTGATTGAAAACATCATCTCTCAGAATGCAATGTAAGAGTTGATTTTGATTTATCTTCAACAATCCTTACAATGCTGCTTATTTAAACTGTGACTTCTTAGTAGCAATTTAAAGGCATAAAGGTTGCATTTTATACACATTTTAGTTGATTTTTTTTAATTTTATTTTTGTAATTAACATAATGTTCCAAAGCAGAGTTAATTGTTAAGAATAAAATAAATTAACAGTTTTGGTTATAGTTTATGTAAAAGTCCCCCAGATAGTGTCAGTCTCATGGTTGGCTGAAGAAGAGTGAGGTGGTACCAGTCAAGTATTTGCTTTTAAGTCCACACTCAGGGATTATAAATCCATTTTTGTGAGTGTTTGGGGTCGTATATAAATATCTGTGGATCCATATTTCTTAACTTTACATTGAGCCACAATTTAGTCCATATATTCAATTAGGAAATAACTTAGGAAAAAACATATAAATTCAAGTTTTTGTTTTACATCATACAAGTCTGAAAAGGTATCAGGTGTTTTCATGTGAGGTAATCATCACAAAATGTATTAATTCACCATCTGTGGAACAAAACAATGACGTCATATTATTGCATCTTTAAACCGCTCAAATTAAACTCTTTTTTCTTCTTTGTTTTATGTGCAAGGTCGCCTCAGTTTGCACAAATCCTGATGGTTTGTCGCCACCAAGTGACATCTCCCTTCCATCATTGCAATAAATCCGACTGTCTGTGATGTCCGCGTGCACGTGCGCGCGCCTGTAATTAAAAAAAGAAGAAAAAAAGAAAGACCGTCTAGTGATCATGAATGTTACACGTTTGAACCGAGGCCCATACGCTCCCATCTTCGGGCGTACCGAAATTTCGAGAATACCGAAAGATGGCGCGCCGTGCGTGCGTGGGGGCAACCCCGTCTCAGCCTCCATCTGATGGCAGCATCAGGCAGTCCCGTGAAACATTTGCGTGGGAGTTCCCTTCACCGCCATGTCGGGATAGTGCACATCTCTCCCTCCCTCTCTCTCTCTCTCTCTCTCTCTCTCTCTCTCTCTCCCTCTCTCTCCTCTCTCTCCGCGCATCCTCCCCCACATTAACAGCTTAGCACAGCAGCAGCAGCTCCTACAGCATCCAGCATCCATCCCTGCCTGGGGAGCAGCAGTCCTACCCGGCGCAGCACCGACGCACGGAGGGGGCGCATCATCTAAGTGATGCCACAGCATCAGTCGCATTTCGACAACAAATACTGAGAGTAGACCCTAAAGGAGGGAGAGAAAACAGCTTCAGCCTCGAGGACAGCAACTGCACATGAAGATGTCTAACGCTGACATCGTCTTAAACGCCACCGATCGGGTGGTGAAATGTAAGTTAGCCTACATTATTTTTTCCCGTTTGGTTATGGCTGTAGATATTACATAACATCTCCAGTGTTTAGCTCCTCGTGGTTTGGCAGAATATGGCCTTTATGTTCATGTCGTGCATTAATGGTGTATATGCGGCCATCAAGTTGTGCTCACGGTGATGGTAGTGGGCTGCTGGAGCTTTGATGTTGATAAACAATCCGGTTTTCTTTGCTGCACAGCCCCCGCGAAGATCGGGCATAAAGCTCAGGAGCAGCAGCAGTGCAGCGGAAAATATGGATTTTTTTTTTTATTGCACACATTTATTTATATTTTAATCTTTGCTGTCACGATGTGAATGTATCTGGGCTTTGGCTCGGATAGGCATGAGAGGAGAGGAGAGATGGGAAAAACAGCTGAATTGCCGAGCTTGTGGTAGAAGCTGGGGCAGTGATGCAGCAGGATTTCACAGGCTGTGACAGGGCCAGTGGAAGAGGAAGAGGGCATGAAATTGACATTTAATGGGAGTATATTTTACCGGGAGTGAGTCATGTTTTAATTTGATGAGAAAAGGTCTATAAGGAATCCCGAAAGCTGCATCAGTGGATGTGGGGAAGGCTCTGTGCTCTGTCAGAGAATTACCGAGAATACAACTCGGATCAATGGAGGATGATGAAGTGCACACACTTGTGTCATAACTCATTTAGCCCCTGCTCATTTTGACCATGGATCAGCTCACAGTCAGCACTGTGCCTGAATATATTCACATTCAGTATATTATCGTAATGGCCGAGCAGCTCAGTCAGCATTAACAACTTTGTCCTTCAGGCTACAGAGTTGTGGAAACACGGAGTAATCTGCACTGGGAGATACTCTTATGTGACAATGACTGCAGGCACAATGAATGTCCTGTATGTATAAGATGTTAGAATTGAAAAAAGGTTTATTTAAGAATAACAAAAAAGGAACAATATAGTCCGAATATCAGCCAGGTTCTTCCCGAGGGACCCTTACAATCTTTTTTCTGACTCATTTATAGAACAAAAGGCATCATTACTTAATAGTTTGCAATCAGAAACTGATATTTAAGTGCAACAAATAACAAACTTTGCACCCTAAGATCTTGAAACATATCCATTTTATCATACTGCCAGCATGTTTCATTATATTCACCTCATAAATAGAAGATGCAGCTCATTGTTTTACTACAACATTTGCATCTTAATGCTGTTCTGTCATTTGTCTTAATGTCTTCAAGAGAAAGAAGTTGGTCTAAAATGACACTGTTACGTGTTGTTTTGAGATAAAACTATTGTGGTTATAACTTTGGCAAAGCTTTACAGACATTTAGGCATTCAAAAATATTTCAAACAAAAGGTTTATATTTGCAAACGCAGCACAGCCAAGAATTCTGACTCAGACTTGTGCTTTTGTAACATGGTCATGTAACATTTAGGATTTTGTGTACAAGGTTTGAAACACTCAAAGCATTTTTGTTTTCTTAAAAAAATCATATGCATTTGTTTCAGTTTTGCTATTCACGTAGCCTCAGGCAATGTGATTTAAAAAGCCTGCTCAATAACTTCAGCAGTGTGTTCAAATCCTCATTAATTTGCTGTTTTTGACCGTTGAAAATGGATCAGCATTTCACCACATATGAATATTCCTTGTCACTTCTATCTGTTCTCCTGTTCGAAAAAGTAGTAACACCCAGGTTTTTTTCTCCAATCCCCGAAAAACTTTATATGCAGGAAACTGAATCATGCATCCCGCAGATGATCAAAGGAAGCTACCAAGACAATGACAATTTTGATCTGTCTGGACTTTCATGTCTTACAGTTATTGTGTGTGGCGCACGTAGCACACGAGCGAGGGCTGATACTACAAGCTACTCCAAGTTATTTTTATCCCAGCATACATATCCCAAACTTACAACACAGCAAGTTTTCTCAGCTCCTCTCTTTTTTCTAACACGTTTTAACCTGACAGAACATATCTAAAGAGATAAAATAACTGCTGGTCTGTGCAGTTTGTTTTCCACGGCACTGTCACCACCGTGCTGTGGGCATCAAGAGGCATATTCAGGTCAGTTATTTCAGGGATGAGGCCTGGTATACCTGTGAACTATCTTACTTTATTATAGCACATTAGAAAATAGTTTTCTTTAAATGTCACAGTTGCTGTGTTCCAATAGAAATGCATATTTGGGAATGTGTTTTCCATTGTTTAAAGCTGCAAAACTTTCTTTAAATAGATAATTACGCAACAATATGAGAAGCAGTGAGATAATATGTCAGCTTAAAACTAAACAGGCCTTGTGACAGGCTAAAATATTCACTCCAGCTTCCAGTAAAACTTATGTTGACATTAATAGTTTATAAATGGTTAAAATGGAACACTGGTTGGGTTTGGCAGAACACATCTGCTTTTATTTCCATGTTTAATGTCAGTCAGGAGGTACATAACCCTTCAATCATCACATAAAGTAGGTCTCTGTTGAAGCTGTAGGGTGTGGGTGAATAAAAGCAACCCGACATTATGCTAATGGCTTGACACTTGGGTCTGTATGCTGTATGTTAATTGGAGCTCTTATAAATGTACACTGTCTAGTCCAATCAGATGAAGCCATTCAGCGTTTTCTGACTGAACCCAGGGTTGCTCATTAGCAACACAATCCTATCATATGCTTTTTTTTTTCTCAAGCTTGCAGGATGGAGAAACCATTCTACGGAAAATGTGTTCTGGCATAAAAATGTGTACGATACAGGCTCATACTCCTCAATATGATCGGAAAATTTGACATGTGTCTGCCGCATGAGCATTTCCAACAGCATCTATGTGAACCTCCAATGCAAATTGCAGTTTTCCGTGGCGGCACTGGCTGTACTCCAACAGTCAGCTGCTGCTGCTGCTGTTGCCCGGCAACATACCGTATTTCATAGTTCAACTCTGCTCTGGTGCTGAGCAGAAGTCAGCTTTTCATCTCATTTCATCTCCCCATACATCCATATCAGTGTACTTGTACATGTGCTTCTACATATGTGTGTGTCATTTAAACTGTGCTGTTTGAAGATCATCTGATGAGTATCTGGGTTGCTTTTTAGTGGGCTTAATCCTTTGTTGCTCCATTCTGCCTAAAAAAAGCAAAGTGTTATGTCCTTGTCAAAGCATCCGCGTGTGGCTTTATTTCAGTTCTTGTTAATGTTAAAAAGGTGCCAGCAGTTTAAAAAATATGGAGTACTGTGTGTCAAAAAGTAAAATCACTTCAGGGCAACTTGAGTTTCAGCATTTTACATTTATGTAATGTCAATTACAGCACTTACACCAGTGTATTTTGGCAAATGCCTACCAGTTAAGTCAGCATTACTATAGCTCATTGGCTCATCCAAGTCCTCTCAGCTACCCCCAAAAATCGGTCTGTGAAGGTAATTCATCACTGCATTTAAGATATACTTTACAAAATTGTATCATCATGCTGTCAGGCTGCCACATAATGACATTAACCTTACTAAAACTTGAGTGGTGACTGTGCAGAATTTGTACTAGCTGGGAAAGTGTCAAAGCACACATCGCTATCACAGATACACACTGCACACTGTGAATATTTTTTACTCCCATTAAATCCACTCGCCGGGGCCCGCCTCATTATCCCAGGAGCAGCGACTTTGAGATTTCTCTAGTCAAGCATTCATTATTAAAGAGCATGTTGATCATGTTCGGTTTAAGCCTGAGCTTTGAGACTCTTCCTTTGTCTTCTCTTCATTTGGCACTGCTGAGTGGCCCTGTTTGCTATGCACTGCACAAATCTGGCAAGCGTACCCTTACTCCTGAATATACTAGAGCTGATGGATTGTGTTATGTGTGCATATGTGCAGGGATGGACTGGAGTAAAGTACTAGACTATTTTACTCATGTAAGAGTAGGAATATTTGGGTAAAAATGCAATCAGATCAAAGTAAAATGCAGTGTTATCTGAGTAAATGCTGCGTTACATTTTAAAAGGGGAGGGTTGGTATACTGCATGATGATGAGAATGTTATTAGATAGAAATATTACCTTTAAAACCTTCTTTAGAGTACAAAATAAGGTGCATTAACATGTCAGAGTACACTGGTGAAACAACATCACGCAACCGAGCCCTTACGTCTAAACAGCAATAAATTCCTTTTCCACAGACAGACATTTGCAGCCTGTGCATACAACTGATTATCAGTTTCTAAACATACAGCCACCTTCCCCGGTACAGCTTTACAAGAGCTATGGACATTGCGGTGAGTGCAACCAGCATTATTAGGCTACATTAATCAAAAAACATGCCACTTCAGCAGTAGAATAACACATCACCAAGACAGCCAACACAGAGATGTAAAGACAATTTAAACTCAAAGCAGCTGCAGTGCACAAAAACACACATTAAAGCAATAAGAGAGCTGCGCAGTTTTTACACACCACATCATACAACACACACCACAGCATTTCAAGGCAACGCTTTGGTTGTGATGTCCTCCTCTGAAAGGAGAGTTACAATTTGTTGTTGTACCCACCTGTCTGAATGTCACTCTGCGACCCTTGTGTACCACAAAGTCTGCTTCAATTTGCTCTAGGTTAAACCTCTCTGCTCGTTCTTTCTTAGAGCATAATACAACCAGTTCACTCAGCTTCTCTAGTGCCACTGTGCTCCTCAGCTTGCAAAAGTTTTGAGCTGAAAGAGCAGTCTGCACTCACAGCTGTGACAAACCGCAAAAAGGCCTCACAAACTTCACTGAAGGTAAAAGTTCCTACGCATAGGTAGAGGTCACTGCTGGATGAACCATCATGAACATTTTATCTCAGCATTTTAGGTAATCCCAGTATGCACCTGTTGTTCATGCAACATCATGGGTGTGTTTAAATTGAGCCACTAAGCTTGCTTGCTACAGTACAGGCGTAAAACATTAATTCAGGTACAGGCAACCTTTTTTTAACAATGTTTAGATACAAAAATGCTAGCTATATGTCTCATTCACAGTCAACATGTATGTTTTGGAGAGTGTCTGCTGCTGATTTGGCACCTTTCTTCTGTTTCTTTCTCACACAGTTTATCATGACTGTGTGGTTGTCTCTCGCTATTATAATGAATTTTGCAACTGGACTTCATCTGACTTGTTTTTTTTCCCACATGAATTATTTACAGCTCAGACACTTAGAACAAGTTTTTCTGTGTTAAACCAGATGATCTGTAGATTAACATCAATAAATGGGCCCTGAAAGCTTGTAGTCACAGCACACGGGGATCAGCAGCAGATCTAATAAATAACCTTCGCTTCCACTGAAGTAATGATCTGTGATTGGATTTCACACGTTCACAGGCAGTCTGTTGGGTAGGTGACTGGTGCATTTTAATGGCCACGGGCTTTAGCAATCCAGGGAGAGTGCTGGATGAATAAAGTGCTTAGATGTTAGCTGAGTTTTATCCAGCACTCTAAAGCAAGTAACGACACATCTGTACTGGAATAACTGTTATTAACTTACAGTTTGCTGTGTGTCAGTCTATTCCAGTTAGTGATCTATGCTGTTTATATACAAATTAAACTTATATTTTAAGTCAGGCATTCAGTATGTTGTATTTAATGGTTTATTTTACAAATAGACAGAACTGACATACAATAATATGAGAATATGTAACACGAGTGATTTGCATCTCTGACCCACCATTTGAAAAAAAAAAAAAAACAATCAGATAAACATCTGTAAAGAGTAATCGTGTTTGACATATATTCCTGAATAATTTAAGGTATTACTGCTTAATTTAAATTTGCAAATGGCTTCTTGTACTTTATGCATGTTAAGCAAAGCCATTTCATGATAATGGTTTGCATGTGCATATACTGTAAGTCAACAAAGATGGATGCAGCACAACAACGCCCGGAGGCGAACATAGATGGAGTTTTCTCAAATAGCATTTCTGCATGAATTCCTTGATGATATGCTGTTCGTATCATTCCCGTGTGGTGTTTGTCATTATTCTCCCACACGAGTACTAAAAAACAAGAATCAAGGTTTGTAGTCTTGATGGCATTAACAGTAGCTATAGTGACCGTGATGTCCGCTCTGTTTAAATGTCACCATGTGCCTGTGCTCTGTCCTCAGCTGTCCCCTTCCCCCTGAGCCACCGCCTTACAATGAAGGAAGTGTTTGACTGCGAAGGGAAACCTCGTGTCGATCTCCTGAAGGCCCACCTCACCAAGGAGGGCCGTGTAGAGGAGGCTGTGGCACTTAAAATCATCAGCGAGGGAGCAGCCATCCTGCGTCAGGAGAAAACTATACTGGACATCGAGGCACCAGTCACAGGTACTACACATTTTAGCAGTGGCGCCCTTAGAAATTTTTTTTAGGGCTGGTCAGATGGGGCCACCAGAACCAAAAGCCGTAACTGAGATTCAGAAATGTGATGATTCTATTTAGCTGAAAATGTTGTCAATATGGAGAGGTAAGGAGTCACATACCAATATACTAAAGTTTTGTGAGACTAGACTAGATAGACTGATACCAGTATATTTAATAATTTGAGATCCACAACAATCCTGTTTAAATGTGTTATGTATCTGTATGTGTTGGGCGATCATTGTTTTTCAGATAGGTCAGTTGTCTTTTTCCTTAAAGAAGACCAACATACAGTTTTGATTTGAGTACATTAATTGTAAAGAACAAAGTAGGACAGGTCAGACAGTAATTTCAGCCCTCACCCAGGGGGTGGCCTGTTAGAGATATATTTACCTGGCACTTGTCCTGCTGCGCTTATAGTTAGCTGCAGGACGTCACACCTAGAAATTACAATGACTCAGCATTCTAGTTAAATGTATCTCACCTTGTCAGATATAATATGACATGTGGCTTCAGTAAGACATGGTCAGTCTCTACACAGCTATCTTCTGCTTCTTATTGACTTTACAAAATGTCACCAACTGTGACACATCTAAAGATGTCCCATATGCAGCCCTGTAATAAATCTTCTAAATCCAAAAGTTTATATTTTTTTGTTGAAGCTGTTTTGGACAGGTATTGATTCACATCACTGGTCATTTTTAAGACTATAGTTTGTGGTGCTGTTGAACTGTATTGCAGAAAGGCGTTACCGATATTTTTTCGGCCCCATTTAAATCAATGACGATAGAGTGTCTCTGTCTCCATCTCTGACGTGTGATATTGTTTTGCTGCTTTTGTTTTCTTATTTTTGGCAGTTTTTAGTTGATAGTTGAGACAGGCAGGAAACAAGTGGAGGAAGAATAGTATGGCATGCAACAAAGGTCCCCAATCAGGATAGAGCCAAAGAGAGAGAGATGCTTAGCTTTCTTGGTGAAACAATATGGAGACTTGTTCTTTTGCTACAGTTGAAGTTACAGCTGAAAGAGTAAGTATAACCACCTCATAACCCTGCATACTGTCAAGAAGAGCAAACTCCTTACAGGGGCGTAGCACCAAATAAATCTTTGTTTGTGTCAAACACGTTTTCTTTTGTCCGGTGGGACAACGGGACGATGGCTGCTACTAGCTATCTCGTCACACAACAGTGAGATCACAGCCCATTTGCCAGTCACTGTATTCGTCTTGTGTCTTTGTGGCCATTAGTCTCGAGCCTTACTTGCATGTTAACATTTGCTAATTAGCACCAAGTGAAGGTGAAGCTGATGTCATTAGTTTTGCAGATATTTGGTCATAAACTAATGTACCCTATTGCACAACTTAAATTTTGATGCATTAGATGAAAAGTTAGAGGATCATAAGGATAAAATACAATGTATCCTGAGGGGGATGTGAAAGCCTGGACCAAATTTCTGCAGTTTTGTGATGATTTATGTTTTATGGCTATGGAGAGTCTAGAGGAGAGGATGACTGTGGGAAAAGATGCATGAGACCTAAGAGGCAGTGAGAGGATGTGGACTGACAAAGCTACTGTTTGAACAGTACAAAAATAAACAACACACCTGACTGGAACACAAGCGCAGATGAAATGTTGATAAAAAGGAATCCATATATATGTAAATTCTTAAAGCAGGACATGGTCATTTCCAGGTAGAATCATCACTATCTTGTCATATAAGAGAAAAAGGCCAAAAATATTTCAGAAACACTGTATTTCTTATTGTAAGTCTTTTCATCAAGGAATAATTACTGGCACCTTCAGGGTGAGGCTTTTTGAAAAGAGTGAACTACTGCAGCACATTGTTGGGTCTTTTTATTTACGTTAACTAAATCAGCTGTTTAAAGAAATCATGCCCAACACATGTGTAACTTATAAAGGTAAAATCACCAACCTAAACAATAGTACCAGGTGAATCAGGGTTTTAAAACTCAGGTTGTTGAGGTGCAAAACAAGTGTAATGTCTTTATTTTAGTAAACCAGCAACATTAACAACATAGAAGGTAAAAAATAAGAAAAATATGGACTGCTAAAAGCCCATAGCATCTGCAAATGTTAGCAATAACAGACCTAAAATGTGTCCTAGTTATAATGTAAAATCAAACTGTCATATCTTGTGTATTCAACCATCGTTTCGCCATCGAGAGTACTCGTTACTTTACAAAAGTAATTTAATTATTTTCTTTATTACCCCCTGCCAACAGTAATTCTTTACACTACTCGTTATATTACTTTTCCGTTACAAACCATAAAATTGGTAATTGCATATCTCCCCAAAATTCAGATGGGTGCTTCTGTGTGTGAATGTCAGGATTAAGTGTAACGTTAGCTAATGCTAGGTAGCGTCTACTTACCCGGTGTCTTCAGTTGCTTGTGACCGGTATTTTCCCGAGGCTCTGCCCGAACGATGGAGAGACGCTTATGGAGCAACATTTCATCCAGCCACAAGCTTAATTTCTTCTTTGTAGCTGCAGCTATCCACGAGTAAAATCCAGTTTTGTTTGTTTAGCCAGTGTGGGGCTACAGCTGACCTCCGCAGCCGAGAAGGGCTCACCTTTGGTACAGTCTATTTCCTGGAAGGTCACGTTGTTGTGTTGTGCGTCGTAGTAGCCGCGGCGTTTCAGACCAGAGGTTTGAGGACGTGTTTTTTGCAGTGGAAAGAGTTTTAGTCTGACTACCTGCAGTAACAGTTCTTGTCGTATTTCCTCCTGACAAAATCAAAGTAACGGAAATATTTCCAGGTTAAGCTAAGTGTTTCCAGCTAGCTTGCTGCTTTATAACATGCGCGCGCAGCACAATGGTTACTAAAATGAGTCCGCCGATGTGATGTTGTATTTCATATCAGTAGTTTCGTGATAACAACAGTAACGTTGTAATGAGTCGTTGGTTTTGGAGTAATTGTAATATTATTACCGAAATTTCATTACTAATTAGTTACACCACTTGTGGCCCAACACTGTCCAAGAGACATGCAATTGTCATAAGTACTTTCTTACATCTACAAACCTTAGCTGATAAATGTAGCCTAATAAATTTATGGATTTAAAAAATGGCTAGAGCTCGGTATTGATGTTAAATCTCAAGACTCTTTATGTACAAAGTAAAATATTTATTTGAGTGTTGAAAACTGTCAAGGACCAAAAGCTGGCGTTAAATGCCTGGTTAGATTCCTAGTTGACTTAGATCAGTGGTTTTCAAACTTATTGTGCCCAAGGCCAAAGGCAAGACTTGTAGCTCATCTGTTTTCTTTCAGTGATAGGTCAATAATTGGTGGTGTCCTTTGGCCTCCTGGTTTCCTGTCTGTACTCTCATTATCAAAAATAAAGTATGGTAACATCAAAAGAAGCTGTTGAAAAAAATATTATTGGCATTAGTATCAAAATATTAAAATGGGGTGTCCCTGCAGGGATTGGAACACATGTGTAGCCACCATCCATGGTTTGATTCCAGCCACAGGCCTTTATTAAATGCCAAACACCTCTCAATAACATGCCACTATCCAATTAAGACACATCTGCTGAAAAATGAAATAAAATAAATAAGAAATTAAGATGATACCCAATTCTAGGTGTTTGATGCCTTGGCATCCGTGCCCATCAAAAAAGAAGGCTTGAGCAGTCTCGACTGAGTCCTGAAACTTGTAAGAATTTTGCTCAAATCAAAGTTACATTTTAGTATTCTTTTTAGAGCATGTGAGCAGAGATGAGCGGTGGGAATCTACGCTCGTTGCTAACGGAGCTGTTTGTCCCCTTTGCTCTGCCTCCCCGCTCACAACCGCTTCAGGCTGCTATGCTTAATATCCTCTACGCTCAACTCAAATTTTACCTCGCTCGACTCAAATCGCTCACTGCTCGCCCAGTTTCCCTTTGAAAGTACTTTGTTAACTCCATTATCGAGCCAATTTTTGACACAAAAAAAATACTGCATGTGTGCTGTTTACCACAGCAAAATTCTTTGGGGATGGAGATAAGGTGACACTCCAACTTTCAAACAAAATCAGCTCCATCCAAAATTTCCGCTCTGCTCACATGCTCTGACTCTTTCTTAAAATCCCCATAAATAATATGCACCTTTGACATCTGATTTTGGTGCATTATAAGATCACAGTCTTAGGCTATGTATCTTATGTTTATTTTTATAATGTAATCAGCTTGACCCAACACAGTGTGATGTTAAATATACATGTAATTATAAGAATCCAATCAGATTAATTCTCACATTGCACAGCAAACACCTCGAGAAAGGTGCCAATATTGCACTTTCAGTGTACCTATTAATTTACATTCTGGCTGTAGGTATGTTTTTGTCTGATGGATGCCATGTTGTCAACACTCTGACCAATCAGACAGAGCCTTGCAGTTAGGCATTGTCTGATTGGTCAGAATTGTTAGACTAGTGCTGCAGTACTTTTTTGCATGGTTGAAGAACTAAAGTCTCACAAGATGAGTGCAGATAAAGAGGAATACTGCCTAGAAAACAGCATTTCAGCCATCTGCTTATATTTTAGATACAGGAGAGAGGATGTGGCACAAGCACAGGTACTGTGCAAGTCTAAGTCAAGAACTGAGTACACTTTATATCTGTTTATTAATTACAAGCAATATCTTTACCGCGATATTCAACAGTGCTATCGCATGTTGCATAATTTCCTCCAAGGCCTATCATGCAGCCCTCACTTGAAATTAAGTCCATCGTTAAGCCGAAACAAAGGTGACAAATGGATGAAATGCACATCGACTTGAAGCGAAGTCTCAGGCTCCTCATCTTGACTGGCGTCAGGGAAATGGAGGCTTTATGTATTAAGCATGAAATATGGATGATGAACTGAGTATTGTGTACGGGCATTTGTGAGTGTGGAGGCCTGTTTTATGTCTTTGTGAGCTTGAGTTGTGTTTGAATATCTCTGCAGCTGTGTGTGTGTGTGTGTAGTCATATATTATGAGGCATTTATGCACTTGTGAATCTTTACTTGCACGGATGTGTTCCATGGGTGTTTGCGTGCGTGAGTGTACGTACTGTATGTGCGCATGTGTGTGTTTGATTGCTTTAGTCACACAAGCAGTCTCCCACTCACATTGCTCTAAGCTTTGAGTGGGCGAAGGCCACTGTGGAGCTGATAGGGGAGACTGAAAAGAGAGAGGAGATGGAGGATGAGTAGGAGAGAAGGAGACAGAGGAAGATGATAATGAAAAATTGAAGGCAGTGAGGAAATGAGATGTAGGTTTGCACTCCAGAGCCATAGTGTTCGCTGCGAGAGGGGAAAAAAAGTATGCATCTCCCCTGAGGGCTTGAGCTTTTTCTACCTCTTTGAGGTGAGAGCTTCTCCTCTCTGTGCTGAGGACAGAGGCCTTTCAGCCAAAGACTGTGGAAATATCTCAATGCCATGATGACCTAAAGACAGGGGAGATTTATACCATTATATTCCTCTTTGGGTGTTTTTATACTGGTGGTATGGCTGTAATTGTAGAATAAATATATATTCCTGCTGCAGCACTATGCATAAATCTTCTTTCCTTAGCCGCTGCTCTGCTGCCTGTTAAAGGTGAAGCTCATCTTGTTTCTACTTGACACAACTGAGAGAAGCCAAAGACCCAGCAGTTAATAGAATAACAAACACTTTCCTTTATGGTGACAGTGTTAATATTTGACTACTCTTTGTTCTAGAGCTGCAATGATTTTCCGATCAGTTGTCAACTATTAAATTAATTGTCAACTAACTTGATAAATGATCTATCGGTATGAATAATTGTTGAGGCTGGACAAAACAAAACACTTGAGGACTTCATCTTCAGCATCTGATTGATATTTTTCACCATTTTCTGACTTGTATTAGAAAAAATAGCTAATCCGTTAATCAAGAATCCTGTGAAACCTGTAAAAAGGTAGCATGTGTAACATCTTGGCCAAGGGACTACAGATGAAAAATAGCGATGAAAAATAACCTGTAGTTGCAGCCCTGTGTTCTCTATTGAAGCAGCTGTGATTAGCGTGTTGCTGCAGGGTTAGCCTGTTGCATACAATAATCCACGGAGAAATGTTGGCATGCAAATAGCTGTAACACATGTTTAAGGTAGCACACAATATGCTGTTTTTTCCTGTGTATAGCTATTGTTGTTCATGAAGGGTGTTATGGTTACATAACATCTATATTTCATTGTGCATTACACTCATTGTCAAAAGCTGTAAGTTCATTGCTTTGATGTCTTAATAGTAGCAACAACAATCATTACGACATTCACACTTCATCACCTTTATCAAACATGAATTATTGAGACTGTTTAGATGCAGATATCAACACAAACTGTAGCATCTCCCTGTACCGCTCGCCTGCCCGCCTGTCTATTTATAAAGCTAACCTGTGAGGAGAAAAAAGACCTCCAATAGAAAGTGCTCTACTCTGCTGCCATGAGATCCTGCCAGAATATTCTCTACCCTCTGTCTTGTTTTCTGTCTTCGAACCCTCTAACCAACAAATGCAGCTGTTGCACATCTCCAGAACATCCTTGATTTTTAGCTTCATGACAAACACATTTACAACCGTACCAATTATTTGTGAGTGTGTTTCAGAGGCAGGAGGTTTGAGAGTTGTATCAACCTCAGCAAACCTACTGTAGTTGTTTCACTGAATGAAAAACAATCAAATGATACAGACCTGTGCTTAACACGAGAAACGTGGGGTTTTCTTGGTCGCTCACACACACAAGCAAAACACAAAGACGCAGACGAAGATATTCAATCGGACTCTTTGATTGTGTAACGTTTGCTGTCCTTTGTTATTTTCCAGTCTGTGGTGACATCCATGGGCAATTCTTTGATCTTATGAAGCTGTTTGAAGTGGGAGGATCACCAGCCACAACACGGTACCTGTTCCTTGGGGACTACGTGGACCGCGGCTACTTCAGTATTGAGGTAAAACCATCAGAAAATCATCAAGTACATCATGGCTTGGGGGAAACACACTGCTAAAAATGTCATCAGTTCACTATAACATACAGCTTTTCTTGTGTAGAATAACACTTTGTTTATGTATTTGTTTTCACAGTGTGTTTTATACCTCTGGTCGCTGAAAATCCTCTATCCAAAGACACTATTTTTACTTCGTGGAAATCATGAATGTAGACATTTGACAGAATATTTCACCTTCAAACAAGAATGTGAGTACCTCTCAGCGTTTTTTTTTTTTCTTTCTCTCTGTCTTGGTAATGTCATGTGTAGCCCGGAGCACTTTGGGTAGAGATTACAAGTAATGCACCTGTCTGCTGGGACTGTCAAGTTAATTCTGTATGACGGCACAACAAAGGAGGATGGAATTGTTTGTGAACAGTTGAAAATTTTGAGCTGATAGCAACACACATGGATGCACAGCATGTGTACATATGTGTGTAATATTTCAGAATGTTTTTTGTTTTAATATTTGATTAACTTGAAACCTAATTTTAAATATATATGCATTTTATTGTGGTACATGCACATACTGTGTGAAACTTCATCATTTATGTTCTACTTAAAAAATATCTCACTATACTACTTTTGTAATTTTGTGTTGTTCAGTATCAAAAGTGTCTCATAAGAACAAACCAAGAACATGCCATATTTGTTTTATGTGCAAACGTACTTGTCCAGTAAAACTGCGCACTGATGCAGCTCATTGTATGTTTGTCTTCTGTCAGGTAAAATCAAGTACTCAGAGCAGGTGTACGACTCATGTATGGATGCATTTGATTGCCTCCCTCTGGCTGCACTCATGAACCAACAGTTTCTGTGTGTACACGGTGGGCTCTCACCTGAAATACACACCTTAGATGACATTAAAAAGGTAAGAACACACATCCTCAGCACTAGCAGGTCATGCTGTAGATTGGTTGTTATTTAAAGAAAGGTTTTTTTTTTGTTTTTTTTTAAAAACACGCACTTCTGCTTCTCTGTGTTAAGTTGGATCGGTTCAAGGAGCCGCCAGCTTTTGGGCCCATGTGTGACCTGCTGTGGTCTGATCCTCTGGAGGATTTTGGCAATGAGAAAACCCAGGAATATTTCAGCCACAACACAGTGCGAGGCTGCTCCTACTTCTACAGGTGAGCTGTTTCTTCTTCCCTGCAGCAACTTATAACTTGAACACTTGTTGTCGATACTTAAGCCCCGTTTCCACCGAGCAGTATGGTACAGTTCAGTTCAGCACGCATTTTTTTCCGTTTCCACTGTATAAAGTTGTGGATGGTACCAATGGAACCGTTCTGTACCATCCACATTTTTGGTCCCCCCTCTGTTGGGGTACCTAGCACAAAGATTTGGTACTAAAAGGTGGAGCTGTGAACACTGCAGTCTGTTGATTGGTTGGTAGCGGACGGTCACTCTGCTCAGGGCTGAGTGGTGGCTGGTTTTAAGGCTCATGTAACCACTGTTCATACTGTGGAGTTTTATTACTGTAACTATAAAATGAAAGAATGTTTTGCTGCCTCTTGCAGCAGCTGGAGTCTGAGAAAAAATAACTTAATTCACTGGGCCGACTGCCGGCAACTTTTAAGGTGGAACGTTAACTTGTAATGTTACTCAACGTATGAGATGATAACGTGAATCCATCAACACACCTTAAATGTTACTGACAACTTTGACCATTACTTTCGTTTTAATCAAGCGTTTAGATATATTAATTTCGACCGGGTTATGTGAACGGCATATATTTCAATCCTCACTCGAAGAAAAAGAAAGCATTGTGGAGCATAGTTCCTGTGGGCTCCGGCAACACTAAACCCCTGAGCTTGCCTGAGAAGGACTAAATGCACAAACCCGCTATTTTTTAAATATCCCATGGAGAGAGACTCTCACTGAAGCCTGTTTTATTTTGTTTCGAAAATGTAGTGCAACCCCATTCTATGGACGACAAATGAGGTGCAGACTTCCATCTGTGTCACCGATAATAAGGAAGTGAGTGCTGGACGGAGCAGTGACAACAACCCCGCCCACATTTAAGAGTACTGTTTGCAGTGGAAACACTAGGTACCATGTCTGAAGGGTTACTTTTGGTTCCAAAGGCACCATACCGAAAGTGTTTGGTGGAAATGGGGCTATAGATACAGAGAAAATACCTGTGCGGCAACTCCAAATTAACTAAATGATACATTGCAGTGCTGCTTTTATGCATCCAATAGTCTAAAACTTTGTGTTCATGCCATCTTGCATTGCTAAAGAAATCTAGGCTTACATTGAGCACTTGTCATACACTGCACTAATCCCATTAGCATGACCCATGTGGCTCGTTGAAGGTCTCTAATTACACTTTAGTTTTAAAAGAATGAAAGGTTGCAACTTACACTTTGGATCCTCCAACTATAAATCCTACCTGGGTAAGGTAAAAGAAAAGAAAATTATCCCCATGTTGGTTGATCATGAAGTACGTGGTTTCTTCTGCACATCCTTTCTGCTTCATTAGGCTGTGTATTTAAGAGAAAGAGGAAGGTGGGAGAAAGGGAGTGATGTGCATTAAAAGGTCAACACCCTGAATAATCGGTATAGAGATCTAATTTAATCTTTCAAAAGAATTACTGGAGTTCAGGGATAAATTCAGCTGCTTTACTGGCGCCTTGCAACCAAAACTCTTATTATCAAAAATAGATGTTAAGATTATAAATTATTAATAGATATCAAACATTTATTGCTACCTGAGCAAAACAAAAAAGGACAACACAGACAGTAGACACACACTTAACACCTCATAATGGGGATGACAAAGGAGACTTAATGTAAGGTAAACATATCCTTAAAGTCTATAGATAGTGCGTGTCTGTGAGTAAATGTGCTGTGTTGCCTTGTGGCTCTCAAACAACTGTCTCTGAGAGGAGGTTGACTTTTTCCACTTACAGAACAGATTGTTACAGACAAAGGATTAGCTGGGTGAACCTGGAGTCAAATAAAAATAGAGGCAGAGAGGAGAGAGGAGTAAAATATGAAACATAATAGCGAGGCAAATTTGGGAACGGGTTTGTTATGCAACTATTCAACCTCCAGTGACAGAGCATGTAAAAGAAGGGGGAGTGAGCACTGTCCTAATTGTGAGATGGAAGCGAAGCTATGGAAGTAGGTGGTGGTGAGGAGAAGAGGTGGCAGCGGTGGTGAGAGTTTTCTTAATGAACGTTCAGAACAGTACAGACCCCCTCCGCCCCTCATCCCCTCCTCCCCTCTGTGTGGGAGCCACAGCTTTGCTCAAATCATGAAAACTTAAGTCAGGGAGATTTATTCCTCTGCTGAAAATGAAGTGACAGTCTGGACATTGTATTCAGAATAATTGCAGTTCAGATTCACATTATAACCCATGTAAATCTCATTTTGGTGTCAAAGGTGACATTTGCTTCAAATCAGATGAAATAGTTCCACTGAAGTATTAAGTGTTTCTGTTTCACGACATATTCCCGCACAGGCGAGATCTCCTCTTTGAGTTCACCAGCACAGTATCTGACACAGAAAACAAAGCAAGTGATGGGTCTTAACTTCCCCTTTCACCGCTGTTAACTGGTCACCGATAAGAAACCATCTATTCATAGGGAGAGCGCAGCTTAGTGAGGATTATTCTGTAGATGTGTGGAGGATGCTGCTATAATAGTCATCTATCTCCCCATGGCTTTGTTCTGCCTTCACTCTCAGACTTACCTCTCCATCATTATGACTCTTGCCAACTATACAGTATGTATGCAGCATAGAGAACCACGTTCTCCTCAGGGATTTTTGGGAAATGCAAGAAAATCTCCATCTGATGTAGAAGCATGTATAAGCAGGTTGAGGGGGGAAGGGGTTACATTAAGATGCAATCAAATATAGTGCAGTTATTTGATTTTATGCTACGTAACGACAATGACTGATTGTTGCAATACGTGAATTGTAAGTGCAAACACACAGTGATGCATTGGGCAGTGTAATTTAACTCCCTGTACATGTGCTCCATAAAACCAATACTAAGTTTGCCCCTCAGAGCTGAGGAAAAGTTTTGAAATAGATCTAATTTACATCAGAAAATCTAGTGCTTACCGAGTTTTGCAGAGTATGACTGCTCTTGGTTCTCCTATGATATTAAGTTATAGTTTTTTGGTAACAACGACCAAATGGATGCATTGTGGAAGACTCTAATGAATTCACTTTTACATCTGGAACCTCCTGTCTATGATGGGTTTGAGATGCGCAACTGTTGAGGACTGTTGAACCCTGGACCTTCTGCATGGAAGATGAGTGCTCTAACCAGTACACTAGGAGGGGGTCCCTTCTTTGGATAAACATGTCTTTCAGAGGCTGCAATGGGCTGAGTTTTAAAGCCAGAGTGACAATACTGGTGTCATATGAAACTAGAAGACCTAAGGAATTCATTGGTACCATGTCATGCTAGCTTGTCCAGAAGAGGGTTAAATAACGCTCAAAAAGGAGGGAAAAACAGGCATGGCCATTATCACAGGGGTCCCTTGACCTCTAAACTCAGGATATCTACATGAAAATTGGTTCAATGGGTACCCATGAGTGTCTTCGTTACAGACATGCTCAATTTATGCTCATCCCATGCAGCTTTGGGCAAAAACAAACAGGGTGTTTCTCAAAGTCAAGGAAGGATCCTTAAATGGCTGAATTTTAAGAATGCTACATCATCAAATCCCACCTAAGGACTGTTCCAATATCAAGGATCTTTCAAATTCTATCGAGGACAGAGTCCTTCCCTCAGAGAATTTTCAAGGATGCATGTGTATATATCCTCAGTGGGTATTAAGTACCCACAATTCTTTGTGCACGATTTGCTTGAAGTGAAGGCGGGGCCTCTTCAGTGAAACCTGCGCCAGTGGAACTTGGCAGGATTTAGATAAATATGTCATTTGGATTAATATCTCCAGAAGTTTTTATCATACAAGCATAAAAAAGTGCTGATAGGAACCTCATAATTTACGCTTTCCAATGTGTCATCTGCCAAATAATGAGATTTTTGAAATACTGTGATTAAGACAAAACATTAAGGTTTTTAAATGAATCATTTACAGCAGTGATGGAGCGCTGAGTGCCACAAAAGTTTCATTTAGCCTACCTGTTTGTTTTTTTAAGTATAAGCCAGAAATATATTCTTCCTAAAAGTCACGTGACTCTGAAAATATTGCTTACATTTGTTCAAATTGTACAACAACATTAGAGAGCCCAAAATTATCACAGTATCCTGAAACCCCCTCAGTCCGCTGAGGGTTAATGACGCACACCTGGGGACACTGGTTAGCCTGCTCCAATGTGTGTTCACCCAATTCCTAAGAAGGAGTTTTGCCTTGCCTCTGTGGGATCCTTCCTAGGAATGACTTGTCCTACCCAGGAAGGATCCTTGACTTTGAGAAACACCAACAGTTCTTCTCATGCAGTACAAATGTGTTATTTTCACCTATTTTATTTGCATATTTTGTGCATACTCGGGTACTTTAACAGTCTTGGAATTGCATAAATTAAGTATGACAGGAAAGCTGAGCCTTTCGTTGATTCAATGAGCTCAACCGTATTCATGTGTGATAATGTTAGTTGCCATATTTGCAGTTTTTACTGTAGTGAAATCATTTTTTTAACCTTGACCTCACTGTATAAAATGACCTATTGTGACATTTTTTAGGAGTATTTAACATATGTAGAGACTGAAAAAGGTAAGGTAAAAGGAGAAAAAAGAAAATACATACGTAAAACATAAACAAAAGCATTAGCAATATCAGGAAATAAGCGACATATAATGTTAATAAATTAAGAAAATTAAAGATGAAAAAAAGCAAATTACTTATACATTATTTGGATACATAGTACCCAAACATGGACACATTGTTACCCACATATTTATGTGAACGATAAAGAACAAGAAAACACTTCTATGTTATCAGTCTCATTACTTCATATAATCAAAGATCATTGGGAACATCATCTTTTACATATCTCAACCATTTTTCCCATCTTTCTTCAGAAACACACACTTGATTTCTAACTCTCATGGCAATTTCTTCCATTTCGTACATTTCTCTCACAAGATCCTTCCATTTTACATTGGTTAAGTTATCTTTTAACCAGTTACTTGTGATTTGTTTAA